TATATGCGTTGGCTCAAAAATTGTGTCATCAACTAGAGCAGTGAGTCAGACGTTTTTGTTAATGCAAGGTCCTTCCTGAAATGGTGCTAAGCAAAACAGGTCAAAAACCAAACATGCGTATTTTCAGTGGAAGTGTTAAGTTTACTTGAGTTTAGAATCTAGAACTCTCATCTCGGTAAAAATTAAATCTTTTAGACTTGCGGTATTGTATCTGAGATGGGAATTTTGAAAGTGGCTTGCATAAAACTACTCCAGAAAAAAAGACGGACCCTTTTCTGCCCATAAGCTTTACAGGTGTAATCTTTGCGATTTTTTCTTTCCTGGAACTTTTAAGAATTCATCTTTAGTGAGCAGAATCCGGCAGGTAACTCGTTATTTCTAGTGCTAAGCCAGACAGAAGAGACAGTTGTGATACTTACCGGTATTAGACTTTCCACCCTCTATAAGCAAGAACAATGCACCACTTGTAGTCATAACACGTGGGACCGCTGCACGCCTGCATATTAACCTGCACTATTTGCCAATCGTGTCTAATGTTTTCACTCTCATTTTTTGTCTGGTTTAGTCCACCGTCGCTACTGACCGTGAAACAAACGTGAAGGTTTCATCTCTGACCGATGACTGCCTTAGTCTTGAGATAGAAACAGGACACTCAGCACATGAACTGTTGGGATCTCAGTGGAATTCAAAGGAAGAGGAGCAGCCAGACACCATTGAGCACATGGGAGAAAGCATTAGTTCATGCGAGGAAGTGAACGTGTCTGACTTAGTAGAAGAACTTCACAGAACTAAACTAAATGGAAGCCCAGAGTTGAATGATTTTTGTGGCAAAGAGCGCGAGAATGCGGAGCGTACAAATGTGAAAAGCAAAGCGGAATCTGTGAGTTCAGATCCAGCGAAGATCGATAGTGAAGCAGCTTGTGCGGAAATGGGAGATAGTTTTGTACCAATCGATGTGATAAGTAACGCAGTAAGGACTCGGCGGTCTATTCTACGGAGAACTTCCAGCACTTCCACGGATGATTCCCTGGGAGACGAGAACGAATTCAACGGAGTACCGGATTCCCCGAGCAAGAAAAATGTACGATTTAACCTCAATCCCAACGTTCGTGTTTTTAGCAACAAAAAGGATAAAAAGAAAAGGAAATTAGAGGCAAAGCTTAAGGCTGAAGCGCGAAAGCATTCATTAGAAAGCGAAGGAAGTGGATCTGAACAGAGCAACGGGACTTCGCCCGTTGATAACGGGATTGGATGGGATGGGTTTGACGATCAATCCCTCGGGAAGGGAACTAACGGGATAACCTCTCATAAAACTCCAGATAATGAGGAGCTTGAAAAGGTAGATGAAAAAGGAGCTAAAATTAGTGATGATCAAACTACGGGCGATGGTTTTGGTAAACCTTCAAGTCCAAGTGACTCTTTTGGGATGACTAACAATTTAATATTTGAATTAGATGACTGACAGTTGTCATTCATATGACATTGTCTATATGTATTGCACGAGCTTGGTGCAGTGCCTTCTGCTGGGTTTGTATTGTGATGGTTTTTTAAAGTGTTTATAAAGGGACAAGTGGATTTGAAATAAAGTTTTTTTTAGTGTCTATAAAGGGACAAGCAGATTTGAAATAAAGTTATGAGGGATAGCTGAAAGTCGAGCAGTTTATGAATCAGTGAATGGCTACTATACCTATATTTTGAGTATTTACTCAGATTTAAATTCACCAACCGATAACAATAAGAAGCTAAACAGGTAGGAAAAATACAACTCAAAAATGGAAACAATAGCGTTCTCTCCCTATATTACCTACCGATGGCTACCCCTCGGAAACGTTCGCTCGACGTCATTATAGCGAAGAGAAGGACTTGATACTATTTTCTGCAAGATTTGTTGCAACAAAATCGTACAGACACCCCATTTGAGGTAATTTTTTGCGGAACTTGGATCATAACAAAATTGCGAGCAAAAAAACAGCAACAAGGCCGGGTTCTTGACAGAACAAAATTTTCGCGAGATAATTAAATTTCATCGGGGTGGAAAAGTAACGTCTTAACGATAAAATGTGTCATAATTGAACACGTAATTCACAGGCGATTCGCGTTCCCTATTTAACAAAATGACGTCAGTTTTTCAAGCGTCTGTCCTGTTATTGATCATAAATTTCATCATAACATCAAAGCAGCTGTAGTCTGTGAATCCACAGCTGCTTTGACAATGTTATGACGAAATTCATGATCAATAACAGGACAGACGCATGAAAAACTGACGGCAATTTGTTTTTTACGATAACAAATTGTCAAGGCGGTGGCCTTATGGTTAGTGCGCTCGACTCCGGATCAAGCGGTCCGGGTTAGAGCCCAGGCCAGGGACATTGTGTTTTGTTCTTGGGCAAGACACTTTACTCTCACAGTGCCTCTCTCCACCCAGGTATACTAATGGGTACCGGCGAATTTAATGCTGGGGGGTAACCCTGTGATGGACTAGCATCCCATCCAGGGGGGAGTAGAAATACTCAATGCTACAGAAACCGGGATAAGCTCCGGCCTGATGAGCCACTAGACATTACCTTTACCCTTAAATTGTCAAATTGACAGCTCTCGCACGTTGACGCATCGCATAAATTATAAATTCATGAGTCTGTTGGCTTATCGACAATGAAACTTAGCCAATGAGCGCGCGAGAATTTCTGCAGCTATCGCAAAATAAGTAGCCTGCGTTGCAGCCGGACGTGTCACAGAATCCCCGATATAGTCCGTACCGGCGGTTTAGACTGTCTGTGACGCAGGCTAAAAATAAGTTGTCGACGAAATGTAATACTCAGGGTACTACGGCGCGGTGAAGTTTTCCTGAAGAATCACCACTCTCCCTCCCCCGCTGCATCCTGATTCAGTAGGAACCAGTCTCTCTCTTTTTGAACCGAGTAAGGAACTTTTTATTCACTTCCAGGATGAGGAGTTGTTTACGGGTTTTCGGCCACAAGGTGTTTGTTGTTCACAAGTGAAGGTTACTACGCGAAAATCAATTTCAAATGATTTCATCTTGTGTAAAGTTTCACGATCATTCGTGTAGCTGTCATACGTGAGTTTGTTTAAATTATGTCGTTGAATTGGGCTTAACTACAAAATTTAAGCTTACCAAAGGTTGGCCGCACGCAATCGCGCAAAGAACCTTCGACAAATTTCTTGGAGTTTAAGGACGAAACATGTCCAAACAGATTGGAGTATCTGTGCCGGATTCTGAGACGTTAAGCTCTGAAAAGTCCAAACGTTTCACGGTGAGTGAAAATTTTCACTGAAAGTTTACAAGCTTATAGTTTTTTATAGTTTTCGTTTAGTAAGAAAGCTTATATATTTAGCGCCACCTTGTTTGTTTTCTGTTAGAATTAATATCTATGTCAGATTAAAACGAAACACAATATAATCCTGTTGTGTGCATACTATTTTTAATCATGGATTAAATTGTAAAGGATTTTGGCGCAACGAATATAATAATTAAGGTGAATGTCAAATGCTTTTCCTGCAATGGGTCTTTCAACTTTAGCTGATAATAAACAAGTTGGGTTTGCGTTAATCGAATTCTTGATCACACCGACAAGGTTATCAGATCGCACATAATATCCTCTGTAGGTCTAATGGAAACCCTATTAATTTGCTTGTTCGTTCTTTAGTTCACTGATTTTGCTGACGACATGTTGATGGAAAAATTTTCCATGGTCAAAAACGTGGATATGTTCTTACATAAAGTATATTGGGCTGGACAATATATGAGGAGGTTTACATGGAATATTAACCATTGTTATATAGCTAGAGTTTAGTAGGATCTAGCATGCACTCTTATTGGTTCATTTGTGGTCACATAGCGATGTCTTAGAAATCTAAATGTCATCGACCACAACAATTAAGCAACCGTCATCCACTCTCCCATTTGCCTTATTACAGGGACTGTGGAGACCATTTTAAAGTGGAAGGGCTAAAAAATCTGGCCAATACTACTGGCCAATATCACTTTAAAGTAGTAAAATCCATATTCTATCCATCTTAACTGGAGCCTTAGAAAATCAATCCCAGCAATAAAAGTAGTAGGGCTATAGCCCTACCAGCCCCTCCCTCCTCCTCGGTCCCTGTATTATGTTACATTTTCCAGCTATATATAATGGTAATAGTACTGAGTCCAATTCGGTCGGAAAGCATCAAGCGATTTACGAAATCGGATGACATGCGAAGCCAGAATTTGAATTGTGTTAAATCACTAGTATGATTACAGAGTGAATTGAATGACACCATGTCCTGTTACCAATTAATCATAACCATTACAATTTCCCGCAAAAGTAACAGTTTCATTTGAAAGAGGGCTTTTGATATAGTGATTTTTGAATATCATAATTAAAAATACGGAGAATAGCTTGCAAAATGGCTGTTTACATGTAGTTTCTTTCAAAACAGTTAATGGAGACTAAACCTTCACAATTTTACAAAGTCAGTTTGTAGAGTGAACTGTGCTACCTTTTGCCCCTAGTTGTTAATATATTCCTGTGCAATTTTTAGTCCCTATGTGTGAATGCTGCATTGGACTAGTCCCTGCAACTAGCTCCCTTGTGTAAACTTGTTGCAAGGAGCAGTCCTGAGACTTGGCCCCTTGTGTGTACCGACCTGCAGAGTCTGCAAGGAATCTTAGGGAAGCCCTGTTAGTAGAAGGGGGGGGGAGTTACATGCATGGCCCCTGTTTGAATTTGTTGAATTTGTTTGTCGTATTTTGAACATTTGGTTGCGTTATTTTAAAGGTGTATAAAGTTCTTGTAAAGCTTCCTGATGGTCGAAGTTATTTCATCTTCAGGAGATACAATGAATTTTACAACTTGTATGAAAAGGTAAGTTTCATTTTTTTTTAATCATTCTATCTGTTAAGCTCCTCTAAGCATGGTTAACCCTTTCTCATACTAGACAAGGCACACAGGAGTCTAAGAGAATTGACCCACGATATATTGGATTACCATTATTTAATTAGTGAATTTCTGCTGTGGGTAGAAGTACTGCTAGTCACTTCATGCTACAGAAATTGGAGATAAGCACCAGTCTGATGGGCCTCTAGGCTAAATGCAGACTTTGCCTGTACCTTTTCCTTTACATAAATAGTGCTAACCAGAGATGTGAGAGCAAACGATATGTAGACATGTTTGAACAACTCTTAGTACCTTTTCCTTTACATAAATAGTGCTAACCAGAGATGTGAGAGCAAACGATATGTAGGCATGTTTGAACAACTCTTAGTCATAGTGTTACAAGTTTGTGAACTGTTTCTGTGATAAAAGCAGTCTCAAGTGACAGGATATAGCTTTTGTTTGATTTAGTGGGAGCTATTATTTAGTATTATTATTAATATTGTACCTCATTTACAGATAAAGAAAGTCTTCCCTGAGTTGAATATAAAGTTACCAGGAAAACGACGTCTGGGCAACAATTTTGATCCTGGTGAGTGGCCTTCATAAGCACGAATCATGAAATTTTGGGAGCAGTCTTACCAAAAATAAATATCCCAAGCCATCCCACTGAATTGCCACTGAATTGAATTACGGAGAGGGGTTTCAAACAAAAGGTACTCTGATCTGTAGGGGTACAGATATTTTCTTGAGCAGCACAATGAGGAAGTCTTTAAAAATAAAGGATGACATAGTAGGTTTGTGAAATTTCAATCTTTCCTGACTCAAAAAAATAAAACGGCCATAGTTCACATAATAAATTTCTCATTAATGTTTGTACATAATTTGTAACTGTAATTACATGTAATTTGTAGTAAATATTGTTATTAATATTTTATTTCAATTCAATTGTTTTGTCAGAGTTCATAAGAATGAGAAGGGAAGGACTTAATGAATTTACAAGCAAGATAATCAGCCATCCCAATGCCATTGAACAGTGAGTCAACATATATCTATTCTTGGTTACGGTAGTTAATTGTTGGAAGAACTCCAGTTAGTGTTTTTGTAATTTTATAGAAATATTCAGATTAAGGCTGTTTGTTACGATGCGTTTGATAAAGTTACCAGACACTCACTGTGAAGTCTATTTCGAGCACAGTAGCTAGTCGTATAGGCTGATCTGCTTTTACAAAATTTGCAAATTATTTTCTCTGAAATGATTGATCACGGGTCCATTTACCTATCTTTGAGCAAATCAGCCCATTCTTGATTGAGCCAGTGTTATAAACTGTATCTACTGATTAAGGGAGAGTTCAAGGAGGTACCAGGTTCAACTGCAGTCAATTCCTGATAACTCGAACACTTGGTAACTTGAACCTCCTGCTAACGCGAAGCAATTTTCATTTCCCCTCAGGTCATATTCTGTTCATACAATTTTACCCTCCACGACGAGAGTCAGTACTGAAGTCCAAAACATTGATCAGAAACTATTTCTTGAAAAAGTAAATCACATGAACTCCAAAGCAGTAGCCTGACGTTGTTCTCTTTGAAACCTGTAAAGTTCTCCTACTTGCTATGCTTTGCTTTCTTTTGTTTCCCATTATGTTTATATGTTCTGATTTATCCACATCAGTAATGTAGAAATATATAGTTCCATTTTCACTCAACTTCTGTATAATTAAATTTGATTAAAATGTACACTGTATGAATAGAAATGTGGTAAACACCGTTTTTTTCTTTATTTCTGGTCATTCATTCTCAACTCCCGATAATGCAAATTCCTGATGACTCAAACCTTTTTTAAGTTTCCTTGAAGTTTTGACTTATTGGGATTTGACTGTACAATAAATAGACTTTCAGTAGAGTTCTAAAAAGCTTGTGACGTACATGTAGTTTATTTTGCTGCAAGCGTGTGCTGCCCTGTCCCAAACCCCATCTGGTTCTGACTTATAAGTCACTATCATCTGGCTGTTATTCACTATCTAGAAACAGGGGCACGTGGCTGGATTAGAAATACAAAAAAACAGTCTGATTTAACATACTTTTGTGGCAAAAGACAGCTCTATTATCCTTAAAAAAAAATTGCTGAGAGAATTTGGTTTCCAGTTGAACAATGATTTCCTCAGGTGGTGAGGTCATTTTATTGCCAATACTGAATGTATTTGAATTTAGTTATTCTTACTGCAAAGAAATTTCAACAGAGTAATTTGTGAACTGCAGAAAACATTCATCAGTTGTGTAAACCTGTTCACAGCCCTGATGTCCGCCTGTTTTTATCACTGGATAATCCAAGGAATACCCAAGTTTATGACGATACTGAACAGTTTGGAGCTGACGAGGCTGATTTACTGGTACTCTTCTTCTGAAAAATAATAACTGTTTTAATTAACAAATAGCATGAAATAATGTTGTATACTGTGTGATAATAATAATGTCCCAAGGACTTGATCACTAAACTAAATTCTTGCAAGTGAATAAACACCAGGACAAAGTAGTCAAAGGCAAAGGTGTTTTATTCAGTACAGGATTAACAAATCCTAGATTGTTTTGTTATTGATATGATAAAGTATCCTTTAACAAGTTTGATCCAGCAAGATATTTCTGTTGAGAGGGCTGATTGGGCACATCTAACCTTGATCGGAGTGTACTGCAGTGAAAAATAAATATTAATTTGTTTTTGGTGAATTTTATTGATTTAATTTGTTTGTTTATTTTTTTTTCTTAAACTGAAAATTTATATGTATTCTTTTTCTTCCTGTCTCAAAGGCCAAGGACATTGACAAGATTGATCTTGGAGATTCATACAATCAAAAGTAATTATAATTATTATTATTAGTTTAGTTTTCTTATTGCAACACACAGTTTATTTCACTTACAAGATGTATATTTACTCTATATACGATTTGTTACTTAAATTATAGTCACTATAGAAGGGTTAAACAAAAATAATACTTGCATTACTTATTCAACTTTTACAGAATCAATACACTAATTTATTACAATACATGACACTAGGGTTCAAAAGATAAGTCACTTTGCATCCCTGCTAATTTCATTCTACCAGGTTTTAATTAGCCTAACTTTTGTTCGCAGATATAATTCCTAGAATAACATTAACCTAAATGAAAATTTCACTGCTTACTGTTATTATTACTATTGGCATTTACTGTTAAATTAAGTATCCTTCATCACCTCGGCCATAATTGTCATTGTCATGATCGTCATGATCGTTGTCGTCATCATCGTCATCATCATAATTGTCATCATGAGATGTTGAGGTTGAAGAATTATTTTTCGAGTACATAACACAAAAAGTAACATAAGGGCAATTAATGGAGTTAAACTGTGCTATCTAGAATAATCAAGCTATTATACACACTCTTAGAGTATCTGCAACCTCTACACACTGAATTATGCATGGTGATTAACACATCAGTATAAAATTAACTCCCAAATTGCATATTGGATTTTCAATTAACTTTGTGTTACAGGGCAAAGCCAAGTGACTTCCTGTTTCTCAAGGTCATTGGTAAAGGAAGCTTTGGAAAGGTAACACTGTTCTATTTATGATTTTTCATTGTTTCATTCCATTTGTTTACTTTAACAAAACTGAGCAAGTTAGCCGCAAACCTCAAACTTTATAGATGTCATTGTATTATATACTTTAACAAGCTGTTATTGTAATTCCAGGTTTTCCTTGCTAAAAACAAACAAGAAGATCAATTCTATGCTATCAAGGTTCTAAACAAAGCTGCAATAAGAAAAAGAAATGAGGTGTGTTCACTCTAAACTACGATTGAAATCAAATTCTTAATTATGTCAGTTGTATAACAAAATCATAGATTATAAAGTAAAACAGTTAACCAACCATATTTTGGTGGTGATTTGGTGGTGGTGTTAGAAACAGTTAAAAGTTTTAAAGTTAGGGTGATGCTATTTAAAAAAGAAAACATAAAAAACATATTGAATGTTAATTACTAAACTTCCACATCTCATTATTTGCCCTTATTGATTTTAAAAAATGTTTAGGCAAAGCATATTATGGCAGAGAGGAATGTTTTATTGAAGAATGTTAAGCACCCTTTCTTAGTGGTAAGTACTGCAGAATGGTGTCTTTTGTTTAATGTTATCTAAAAACATTGAAACAGAATGTGTTGTGGAAAGAAATGATGGTTTTACATTAAGGTGATTCCTCAGAAATAAAAGTTACCGAACAATTTTTTTGAAACTTTCCCTGAATGTTCCCCACTAAGCACTGTTTCGAAAAATAAAATAAAAAGGCTAGGTCGCCATCCTTTTTTTGAGAGATATGATGGGCCAATCTTACCCCATTTATGCCTAACCACGTGCTTTACTTCATCAGTTCACATTACATTTTGTGGTAGCTGGAAGCAAAGGTTACTAAAGCAATACTTGAAAAAATCTTGATAGGCAGAACATCTTGGGTACCTGGAACAATGTAATATATAAGTTATGGAAAAATCACACAATTCTAAATGACACTCACTCAAAACGTTCCCCAAATCATTGTTTTCAAGGTCATAATTCGCATCCTCGAGTACTAAGTAACGGTTTTGTGCACTCTTTCAACAATAACCTTTTTCCTTCCGAAGGATTTTTTTCCTAGTGTTTTACCTTTAAGCAAATAATTTGTACACCAAAATAATTTTTCAATGCAGTGCAATAAAAAATATAGGTCGCCATTCTTGTTTAAGAGAACACGAGCATTTATTTTGCTGTCGAGCTTAGCTTGAGGGAAATCTCTCACGTTGTGTCCGTGCACTCGCTTATATGCGCATGGTAATGACTTAAGAATCGTGCGCAGTAGGGATGTGTTTTTAAGAGAGCAAACCATTTTTGCAAGGCACATGAACCTTTTGTCTTACTTAGTATCCTCAGTGGAAATACACTCTACTGGTAGTTATTTGATTGTACTCTTAAATGCCCCAACCAGTTTCAAACTGTTGATTGAAGGGGTGCATTGAAAAAAGCCCCAAGTGACTCTTGATCTCATGTCAAATGCTCCTTTTTTGTACAAGGAAGCAGAAAGCAATTTACTAAGAGAATCTTGCAGTCTATCAGATGTCACTCAGGGTCTTTTTCCATGCACTCCCTTCATATCTCTGGTATAAAGTATAGAAAAAATGATCATCCTTGTCAGTATTGTTATGGACTCTCACCCCCCACCCCCTGAGATAAATTATTCTCTTTTGCTTCTGCATTCAACCCCTGAATATATAAATGCCTGTGAAGAGAGTTTCATGTTAAGTGAGCCTATATTTTTATTATTATTTTAGGGATTGCATTACTCATTTCAGACAAGAGATAAACTGTACTTTGTTTTGGATTACGTCAATGGAGGAGAGGTAAAATGCAATGTGTTTTAAAGGTTCACCCATGTACCTTTGCTGACTTATCGTTTGTTTTTTTCCTTTTGTTTTAGTTATTCTTTCATTTACAAAAAGATAGATCCTTCCCAGAACCAAGGTCAGTATCCTGAAAGATCATTTTCATTTTAAATATCATTATTTAATTGATGTTGATTATTAATTGGGCAGTAATAAAATTACCAACATGAAAAGTTTCATATTTGTCATATTTTTAGCAAGTGTCATTGAAATCTACATTAGGGAAGTGTGTAAAGGCTTAACTGCATTTCATTTTGATGAAATCATAATAAAAGATTATTAAATTAAACTTCCCATATTGAAGTATGCAGAAGACGTATAACTCTTTAGACAGTTTAAGAAGTATACCAGGCCCCTTGTTGGAGCACCTTCAATTGCACGTATTTCTGGTTTTTGTTTCACCAAGCGGGGTATTTTATTTCCTCCTGGATGGGTTGTTTAGTCAGTGAGCTCACTGATTTTTTGTCAGGAGGATAAGATTGTTTGAGGAACATCCAGACCTAATCGCAAACATGTCAGGATGTATCCACTGCCTGCTGACATAAATGCTGCATGCCCCTCTAGCATGCATGCAAGGTTGACTTTAATTCTATTGTGGGAGGCGCGGTGGCCTCATGGTTAGTGCGTTTGACTCTGGAGTGAGCGATCAGGGGTCAAGCCCAGGCCAGGGACATTGTGTTGTGTTCTTGGGCAAGACACTTTACTCTCACGGTGCCTCTCTCCACCCAGGTGTATAAATGGGAATTTAATGCTGGGGGGTAACCCTGTGATGGACTAGCATCCCATCCAGGGGGGAGTAGAAATACTCCTAGTCGCTTCATGCTACTGAAACCGGTATAAGCTCCAGCCTGATGAGCCACTTTGCTCGTATGCAGACTTAACCTTACCTTTACCCTCTCTCCCACTGACAGGGCTAGATTCTATGCTGCAGAAATAGCCTCAGCAATTGGATATCTCCATTCCCTTCAAATAATCTACAGGTTTGTTGGAAAAGATGTTTTAATAAACCAAGGCTACTATTACAGTTATTTACATCATTTTTTTTTTTTTGAAATTGTTATTTGTTTTGTATTGCAGAGATTTAAAGCCTGAAAACATTCTTCTAGATCATAAAGTAAGTGGCCTTCTGCCAGCAGATCCTTTTGAAGTGGTAGCAAAGTGTTTCTTGACAACAAAACATTTATAAGTTGATCGACATATACAGTTGTATTGGTGACTTCACTTGAACTTTATCAATGCTAAGTTATGATGGTATTCAGCTTATCTAAGCCCTTGATACTTGAATTTTAATGCGCCATTTCAATTTTTTGCGGGAAATTATCCAATAAGCCGCACCTAGCTGGTAAGAACACTGCTGTAAGCCTAACAAATGATTTAGTTTCCTTTGAGTGAAAGATTTAATACACACAGCCCTTTCAATGATTATACCAGTGTTCTATATAGAACGTCTTCTTGAGATTTAAGGTGGTTTTCGTTAACGTATGGGAATTCTTAGTTTTTGCCTGCAACTGTAACGGCCTGCTAGCTTGCCTGTTTGCTTTTCTCTCAGGATCGCACCAAGATTTTCAAGAATATGCTTCCCA